GCAATATAAGCTTCTCATTCTGGATTACCTTTCAAAAGATCAATTCTCAACTTCTTTAGGACACACATACAAATGTTGTTACCATGGAAACAAACAACACAATTACTCTTATTTATCATTATTAAAAATAAGTTACCAGATTCACAGTTCACGTTCAAGGGTAAAATTGACGCTGCGTATATGGCATATATAAATAGTACTTTATTGATAAGTTGCAAAGAATACAGAATTATGGTTTGTGGACAAGTGACGATATCCAGATTACTAAATTATGTGACTACAGATTTACAACTGATATGGGAGACATTAGGCATATTTTGATTAGGAGTGGTCAATGTCAGTTTGACCTTGTTATTGGAGGAATGAAAAATTCACTTGCTACTAAGCATCTGAGCTGGAACTACACTAAAGACTACAACAGGTCAGACTTAAGTGTTTCTAAGATATGTTTTATTAAGTTGAAGAACTTAATTACATGATTTGCATACTGTATTAACATGCAAAAACCAAATTACCACCTATATAATGAATTTCTTGATATAATGAACAGATTTCAAGTTTCTCACTCAAAAAAAACCCCAAAGTATAATGTGCTTTATTATATATAAATAACACTTAAATTAATTAAACAAACTAATTATATGTCCCCCAAAGAGATCATTATAACAAGGTTACAGTGTATTGCATTTATTATATACTAGATTATCAAATTACAACTTTTCATAGATACCTCTATCATGTAAGCGCTACTAAATACAGTAATTTCATGTGAGTATATTTCAACACATTAAGACAAAATCAAATGTCCAACTATCTATAAATTAGTAAATACTTCTGATGATTTTTTGTTTTTGTTTTTAATTTAAAAAATTGCCTTGAAAATCAATTCATTTTTACTAGTGTTTTGAGAAAAAACAATAATTTTTTATTGACTTTTCATCTTACCTGATGGTTATCCTTACATGGCGACAGTGTATTCTGTAACGCCACGGCAACGCAATGCTTGTCATCAAGCTTGGTCTCTTGGAAATGCCAATTGTGGTCGAATGCACCATCTACGTACACAGCAGTATCATGACTGGTCACATTTACCCCAAGTTCTTCGGTTTGAAGGTGAAATTCTAACCTCAGTAGGTCATATCCCAACCCAATCCCAATGGCCTTAATGTAGCTTTCCTTCAGACACTGGATAACAGAAAAAAAAAATGAATAAGCCTAAATGATAAAAGAGGGTACATATTCTGGTCCCGGACATCATAAAAATACTATTTTATAGCTATATATTTGAAAAAAAAAATAACTTATTTTGCCAAAAATAGCATGCAAAATATAAAGTACTGTAGAATACTTTATTTTCGCTTGGAATTTATTTTCGCTGAACGGATGATTCCCTGAAAATAAAATCCAGTGAATATACTTTTTTTCCTATATTTCACATTAAACTCATCAAAAATCAGTGAAAATAAATTCCATACAAAACGCTCAAAAAGTCTTTTCAGGGAAAATTAATTTCAGCGAAAATAAAGTATTCCACAGTATGCAGTTACCATGGAAATTATAAATTACATTTGGTCTAGTAAATACTTTGTGTCATTCTGTGCAATGGTTGAATTTGTTCATTTGCGTTTTCATAAACTGTATACTGTATTTGCTTTATTGAAAGCACATGTTAGAGATATGTGAATGGTCAAAATATGTCAATTTGGGGTTACTGTGACTTCACTGATGTTCAGTGAAAAAGATTTTGCAGTCTGCCCTTCTTTCTGGGTTACTGGTAATTTAGAAATGCATATGTAACACGAATATCACCTTGAACACCAGCACTGTAGTATAACTTGTAGCCAGCTAAGTGAGATATAAGAATACTGATGAGAAATGACGAGTGACATTACTGACATTACACTGCATCCCCTGCTTTCATATTATTAAGCTAATGGTAACTGGTAACACTGCATCTCCTGCTTGCATATTAATGAGCTAATGATAATTGCTAGCACTGCATCTCCTGATTGCATATTAATGAGCTAATGGTAACTGCTAACACTGCATCTTCTGATTGCATATTAATGAGCTAAGAGTAACTGCTAAAACTGCATCTGCTGCTTGCATATTAATGAGCTAAGAGTAACTGCTAAAACTGCATCTGCTGCTTGCATATTAATGAGGTAAAGGTAACTGCCAACACTGCATCTCCTGCTTGCATATTAATGAGCTAATGGTAACTGCCAACACTGCATCTCCTGCTTGCATATTAATGAGCTAATGGTAACTGTCAACACTGCATCTCCTGCTTGCATATTAATGAGCTAATGGTAACTGCCAACACTGCATCTCCTGCTTGCATATTAACGAGCTAATAGTAACTGTTAACACTGCATCTCCTGCTTGCATATTAATGAGCTAACGGTAACAGCCAACACTGCATCTCCTGCTTGCATACTAATGAGCTAATGGTAACTGCTAACACTGCATATCCTGCTTGCATAATAATGAGCTAATGGTAACTGCCAACACTGCATCTCCTGCTTGCATATTAATAAGCTAACTGTTAACACTGCATCTCCTGCTTGCATATTAATGAGCTAATAGTAATTGTTAATACTGCATCTCCAGCTTGCATATTAATGAGCTAATAATAACTGTTAACACTGCATCTACCACTTTCATATTAATGAGCTGATGGTTATTGCTAACATTGCACCTCCTGCTTGCATGTTAATGAGCTAATAGTAACTGTTAACATTACATCTTCTGTTTGCATATAATGAGCTAATTGTAACTGCTAACACTGCATCATCTGATTGCATATTAATGAGCTAATGGTCATTACTAACATTGCATCTCCTGCTTGCATATTAATAAGCGAATAGTAACTGTTAACACTGCATCCCTTGCTTGAATATCAATGAGCTGATGGTAACTGCTAACACAGCATCTCAGTGGCATCACTTTCTACTTCCACACACTACTGTGCAGGGTGTAAACAAAGACACAAAGCATCGCCTTGGTACATGTGTGTATGACAAGTGTTCCTACAGTCAGCATGTACAAGAAACAGTCAGTTACGTTTGCACCAGAAAACACAGACAACCCAGAACGTTTCTACAATACAAAACATCCAAGTTAATGCTCCAATAGTTTCAGAAAAGAAAGTGTCTTTGCATGTGTAACTATGGTTACTCACCCAATGCCTGTAAAACATTTCAAGTTGTTTCCATTCAGTTCTTGGTCTCTTAATGGTTTTCCACTCGTGTTCAGTAAACTGTTTTCTCATGGTATGGAAGAAATCAGGCACATTTGTCCGATCTGAAAATGCAGAACACATTGTGTATCAAGATTGTTGTTTTGGTTTCTGAAATGAATGTGTATCAATAAACAAAAAGTTAACATTTGAATGTATGGCTGCATGGTAATAATAATAAATATTATAAGCTTTCAGCCAATAGCTTCCTGCTAATAGCTTACTGCTTGTGATTTATGCTAACAGACCCGTGATAATAGCTTCTTGCTAATAGCTCCATGCTTATAGATTTAGCTAACAGATCCCTACTAATAACTTCCTGCTTATAGATTTAGCTAACAGATCCCTGCTAATAACTTCCTGCTTATAGATTTAGCTAACAGATCCCTGCTAATAACTTCCTGCTTATAGATTTAGCTAATAGCTCCCTGCTAATAACTTCCTGCTTATAGATTTAGCTAATAGCTCCCTGCTAATAACTTCCTGCTTATAGATTTAGCTAACAGATCCCTGCTAATAACTTCCTGCATATAGATTTAGCTAACAGAGCCCTGCTAATAACTTCCTGCTTATAGATTTAGCTAACAGAGTCCTGCTTATAGATTTAGCTAACAGATCCCTGCTAATAACTTCCTGCTTATAGATTTAGCTAACAGATCCCTGCTAATAACTTCCTGCTTATAGATTTAGCTAACAGATCCCTGCTAATAACTTCCTGCTTATAGATTTAGCTAACAGATCCCTGCTAATAACTTCCTGCTTATAGATTTAGCTAACAGATCCCTGCTAATAACTTCCTGCTTATAGATTTAGCTAACAGATCCCTGCTAATAACTTCCTGCTTATAGATTTAGCTAACAGATCCCTGCTAATAACTTCCTGCTTATAGATTTAGCTAACAGATCCCTGCTAATAACTTCCTGCTTATAGATTTAGCTAACAGATCCCTACTAATAACTTCCTGCTTATGGATTTAGCTAACAGATCCCTGCTAATAACTTCCTGCTTATAGATTTAGCTAACAGATCCCTGCTAATAACTTCCTGCTTATAGATTTAGCTAACAGATCCCTGCTAATAACTTCCTGCTTATAGATTTAGCTAACAGATCCCTGCTAATAACTTCCTGCTTATGGATTTAGCTAACAGATCCCTGCTAATAACTTCCTGCTTATAGATTTAGCTAACAGATCCCTGCTAATAACTTCCTGCTTATAGATTTAGCTAACAGACCCCTGCTTATAGATTTCTGCAAATAGACTACTGCTAATAGCTTCCTACTAATAATACAAATGCTCAAATAAATATGCAGCAAATTCAAATTACCTGTCTTCCTAAGCAAATAGAAAATATTATATTAATGCTTTTCTATCATATCCACAATATTAAGCTATACGCATCAGGAACAAATTCACGTCCAGCGGGTTTCATCCTCCTCCACTAATGGAATCAAACAAAAAAACAAAAAAACTTACTTGGCTGTTCTACTTTCATTACATCTACCCCAACCTGTAGTGCGGGTTCCGCTGCAATCACAGAATAGTCACCTTGATGGGAGACATTGAAATTGAAATTTGGCAAGTGTTTTGGAACTGTGTTTAAAAGGAATGGTTTTCCTTTATCAGTTCTGGCTAATTTGACCTCATTCCACGGAATCTGTAAGGTGTCGCTCACAACTTTTCGTAGCAATAACCTGCCTGCCTGTAAAAAAAAAACGAATACCATTAGAGGGCAATATATAAATCACATATTGAAAACTCACCTGAGTAGTGAAAGTGCTGTGAAACGTTTTATTTTCACAAATATCAATTTTTGACATTTCATAATTTTAGGGCATTCAAGAAAACTTTTCGGTTACTTCTACATATGCTGTCTTTTACGTTTACAGAGCCTGAACTTGAGATTTGAGTGGGTACCCAATTACAAGGCAAAACTTGATCACAGAGCAAATTAGTGTTTAGGAACAGTATGGAGAAAATCTGTATTTTTCGAAGGACACTAGAGCAATCTTTCATGGGCATTGAGGCAACTGCCTCCATAACCACTGTGAAATTCAAGCCCAGCATTTGACCTTTAATTAAAATCTGTAACTGACAAGAAATTATGTCAAATTAGCCCAATTTTAACAGAAAAAAAATTCATAAAAATATGAAAATGATACTCCACAATTTTGGCAGTAAAATCATGACTTTCCAGGGCTTACAGTCTACAGTTTATTGACACCTTTGAACAATAAAAATGATTTCCCTGCAAGACTAACTGTTGTAAGCAGCTCTTGTCTTGGTTTACATGTCATCAAATTGGTCTGAATTTTGCACACAGTATGCATTGCCATACTGATATAGTTGCTGAGTATTCAGAATTGGGCATTTAATTACGTAATGCATAGTATATGGTCATAAATAATGTACTTAACTGCAAATTCGTCTTAAATATAATAATTATAGAAAAATGCAAGTTGTATAATTTCAGTTTTATCTTCATTTCCATCTTGTAATTACAACCGCAGACAAACTTGGAAGTATGACAACAATAATTTGGCAATGTGACAAGGTGTCTTAAACATACAAGGATAATATAACATGACAAGTTTCATAAATCATAGTCTGCGAATACTCAAAGAGGCTTGAGGTGAAACACACATAGTGATTAAAAAGTGTACTTCGGTCCAGACAAAATTAAGACATTTCTGGTTAAATGGTTGTAAGCTAGAGTTGTTTTTTTAAATAATTTTCATGAAAATTTGATTATCTTTTTTTGTTGTAAATTTGTTCTAAAATCTGTTACCCAGAAACATGATTACTTGGTAACATGATTATTAGTATTTTGACTGACGCACATTGTGCCCAGAAACATGAATACTACTTTTTTTAACTGACACACACGGTGCCCAGAAACATGAATACTAATTTTTTTAACCAACGCACACAGTGCCCAGAAACATAAATACTAGTATTTTTAACTGACACACACGGTGCCTAGAAACATGAATACTAGTATTTTTAACTGACACACACGGTGCCTAGAAACATGAATACTAGTATTTTTAACTGACACACGCGGTGCCTAGAAACATAAATACTAGTATTTTTAACTGACACACACGGTGCCTAGAAACATGAATACTAGTATTTTTAACTGACACACGCGGTGCCTAGAAACATGAATACTAGTATTTTTAACTGACACACGCGGTGCCTAGAAACATGAATACTAGTATTTTTAACTGACACACACGGTGCCTAGAAACATGAATACTAGTATTTTTAACTGACACACATTATGGTGACAAAAGTTGCCTTTGAAGACATTTTACAACATTGTACATTCACTAACCATTGCTGCTTTGCCATCTTTTGTAAAAACAAATTTACCAATTCTTTCCTTTTCTTCTGACTGGATGCACTGTGCCGCTAACAACCATTCAGATCTTGACGGTTTCCAACAACCGAACTTGAACGCCAAACGAACACTCTCCATTGTGAATGTACAAAACTGTCTAAATTATAGAAGATGGTTGATAGTAAAAATCATAAAATCTATCAAAAATATCAAGATTTAACCTATTGATTATAGAAAAAGAGCACTTTATATACACATGTATATAAACAAAGGATGGGACATATTAACATACATATTTAGCTAAGAAGATAAATAGATGATAATCCTATTTTTAAAAGCTGTCACATTTTTGATGAAACAATACAAAATAAAAACATTTTTACATCTAACATCCACCTGAGAAAAAAAATACTGACACCTCAAAACTATAGTGAAGAAAACCCTATTTTGGGTAACACCTAAACATGTACCGTTTTGCTGGGTTGTTCGATGGGTTAACAAAATTTATTACTTTACAACTGTAATTATTAATTTTATGTGCTCTATTTTGTTCCTTTCGTGAAAGTGAATGAGCGCATACGTATCCATAGAGGTTGACAGCAATACACTTTTCACAGAAATAAACATTATCTTCAAATTAGACGATTTCTATCAATTAGTGTTCAATATAGTGCTTTATTTTTGAAAAATATATGTTCTATGTGTGAACAAATTAAAGTTAATATTGGAAAAAGTCAAAGGAGAGTTTAAGCTATTTTTCATTGCATGGAAAAAAAAAACCCACAGCGGTTAATTCTTTTGTGGGGGATGGGGGTACCCACCCACCATCGAAACCTAAATATGTCTCCCGATCTGGTGAATTTGAGATAATCTCCATTTCGGGGGCAAGATGCCTTGTATCCCTCCACGACGACCTGAATAATATCTCAGGCTTGATAGTCGCAAACCTGGGGCCGCGAAATCATGGTGGTGAAACCACGGCAGAGGTCCATCAGCATCATCAGCATCATCACGAGGTGTCGAAACGCCCACGATGTTACATACAATGTAAGGATGGAGGTAAAATAAAACAAGAATGGATAACCAAAGGGCATGAGACTTACATATAGTTCTTATAATTCACTAGAGAACATGATGTAGTGCTAGATCGTCAGCCAGCGTGAATCATCAATGTTGACACAGGCTATCTAGAATACAATGTTTACTTCAACATTTTCAGTTAAATCACATAAGTAAGTAATTCAAAATTTGCTCCCTCACAGCTTTCGGGACACGAACCCGGAAGTAAAATTCTCACACGGAGCTGCCATATTGGTTAAAATGCGCATGTGCACAGTCTGTGCCCTCATTGGCCTAATGTTTCGTGGGATAGCGGTGATCAGAACGAACTTCAAGTTTCTTAAATCCTCCTGTGAGCGTGTATGTTTGTTTTTGTTTTCTTCATAAAAATACTATAAAAATAATGTCATTATGCAAATTGGACAATTAAACATGTTATTTTTTTTAAATAACAACCCAATGATCCCAGATTACACTAAAAGCTGCAAATTTATTCAAAAGTTGTAATGATTGTAGTTTACCAACCGCATGAACCAACACAGTGAGTTCGAAAGCATGTGAAGACAAGATACGTGTTCTCCGTACAAAAAAATGCTAAAAATTCTAATGACGGCTGCCCTCTACGATGACTCGTCGATATTGCCAAGTCTTTTCACCGATTTTCTAAAATATTACGAGTACGATAATAATGTCGCCAAGTTGTTACTAAACAATAACTGTGCTTGTCATGAGAACTAGTATGTCCGTCTTTTATGTGCAATAGTTTAATAATACTCACTACCAATGGCTCGAAACCAATCACAATAGTAGTCAAAGATACACCAGAAAACAATGTTCACGCATTTTTTAAATTAAGCACATTTAACTGCCATTTAATCCCGAAGGGAATACATAATTAATGGCAGTTACCTTCGTCACGACGAAAACGTGCAAGTGTGCATAGAATTTTGCTGGTTGTGCATAATAATAAAGTCCCTCTCCACGCGAGGATTTGGAGAGAGGCGCGCCCCCTTCAGCCCGCCAAAAAAAAAGAAAATTGGCAAATCAATTAACAAACCCAGCCCTACGGAGGTCTACATCGACCACGTCAATAGGAGCGCCCATCCACCCTTACCGAATTTCTGGATCCTCCAGTGCTCGCGTATTTGGTACACTGTGACCCTTGGTAGTACCGTGACGTCATCGTTCAATGTGGTCCTCTATGTAACACTCACACTTATTATAACCATATTAGGTATGTCAATATACAACATCAAAGACGTGTTAGTTGTTACATGGAAGGTAGTACCTTACCACCGTCTTACATAGTCTATGACAATGTCCATAACAAACTGTTCATACGTCAGACCCTATCAAAGCGACGCAGTCGTCGCGCCGAGTTGTTGAAGTTTATAACGCCAAGTAAATTTCGAATGTGCGCTGCGTGACGACCGTCTGTAATGACTTTAGGGAATGACGCGCTTAACAAATAAAAATGCAGAACATTTTGATGCACGGATAATCCTTGATATTTTTAAAATAGACAGTTTATCGTTTTAAATATTCGGGAAATTTCTTTGTCAAAAGTGTGTGTGACCATCCATGAGACAGGTCCCTCTGAAAATACGTATTGGACAAAGTCTCTCCGCTGTGCCCCGGAGTCACAGTTCCTCTATAACGTCCGAAACCACGTGATGTGACGACAGCAAGTCTCGCGAGGGCGCACCTATTTCGTACCATACTTAATTCTTCCGACCCATACTACCGTCTGTCATTCGGAATTTCAAAACATTCACCAAGAATGTGCACTGACGTATTTTATCACATCTCGGCTAATTCGTTGGCACATAAAATAAATGAACAAAGTAAAGGTTTACAGTGCAGATAGTTGTGGTTGGAATAAACGATATACATGTATACATAGAGAAAATACACAGAAATCGCATTGCTATACAACAATGTTCGTAATGAGCTGTAAATTTGAAATTAATCCAAGAAAGATTGGTATGTCTTATTATTTGAATGTTTATGTCGCTAGTTCATATGTGTGATTACAATGCATTTGTCGATTACGGTGGAGCACGCATGATATTTGTAAGCGAAGTAAAGACGAGTCAGAGTGTCGGTGATGCCTGCTAATCTGACGAGTCTTAAAGTAACGTGAGAACAACCGTCTGAGTGACCGGCGCGGTCTTCACGTAGCATTGACAACAGATATGCGAGTAGAATGATATTGTAAACACACGTGTGTGATCTGGCCGTCGCGCGGTGCTATCTTTTTAGTCGGAAACACCACGCGTAAGTAGCCGACTGTGTTACTAATATACTCTATCTCAGAAACAAAAAAAATGCATCAACTTCAGACTGGGAACTCTTAATCATAATTATATTCTCATGAGACCGACTTTGTTGCCGCCTTGCACGGTTCGAAGTTGTTTAAAACCTCCTTGGATCTGTACACCACTATAAATTGACCCCGATCGCCTCGGCAAACTGAACTGATTAACCTGGTTAAAATTGCAAACTGTTTAAGTGGCTATCACGAAAGTACTTTAATATTGCTAATAAAACTAACAGTTTTCCCAGGCTTGTTAGGAAATATAAACTTTTTACTGTCTGATATTCTGACATTTCGCCGGAAACCCTTTCGACATATCGTATCGGTATGTTAGTGAATGCCGATCGCCGGCCAAAGCAGGGTGTTTCGATGTCTCCTTCCGCTGCCAATTGCGTGAAAGGGTGTGAATTATCATTTGCAGTTTAGACCATTTCTCGCATTAAGTGAAGGGTTTCTTCCGTCTATTTGGCGAAGAGTTACCTCGTATTGCCTATAGAATAATACTAGATGCGCAATATTGGTATATATATATATATAGTTGGTACAGCCTACTCGACCCTTTTCTCGCGACGAAATTAGGCCAAAAGTATATATCCACCGAACAAAGTGACTGCGAACCTAAAAAATATCGCCACCCCTCATTTGGAATTTAAACCACACGTCGAAAACAGTACGCATTTGGTTGATTGAATCCGTCCCTTTGCGAGGTTAGAATAGTGACGAATTCGTTGGTTGAGTTCACGTCCATGTCCACGTGGTGTTCTAGTTGCATCGTGCGACACAAGTATGTTCCGTCTGTGGACGGATTGGTATTATTATGCATATATTAGAAATTTAATTTTGTAAATCAAAATGTATTTATTTTTTATCCCCAGCAATCTTAATACCACTAACAACATTGAAAAGTACAGCGTTTATCGAAGGAACGAAGTCGAGTTTGTCATCACTGTTTTCGGCATAACAAGCTTACGTGACCCATGGGACGCGGCGTCGTAGGATAAACAAAAGAGTGAGATCTCATCTAGCTCTGTGTTCTCACAGCTTTCATTTCGATCGGCGTAAATCAACTCAAAAATAAAAAAATTTCATCAAACCCATGCGTTAGAACACCGCCACACGCTTTTAAAAAAACGAGACAGCATGGCGGGAGCTGGAGCCAAGAGACAGGGGTGTTTGTCGACTTTCCACTTACACTCCAGAACTGACGAGTGACGATAAAACCACGCAACCACTTTAATACATTATATATATTGCTATGTTTGCGTTACTAATATAAACATTATTCTAGCGAGTCGAGAATTAAAGTGATCGTCTTTCCCTAGCGTTTAACCTTTGCAACACTGGATTGACATACAACTGGATGACGAATATACCCACGACGAATGACGTCATTTCTGATTACAAACTGTGAAATCTTTCGAGTTGTGGGATTTTATTTTTTAAGAAAAAAGAAGTTATTTTCACCGCTCCTATTTTGTTTGCATCACTGTCACTGACATATTCCCTGCAAATTAATCTTAATTAAATATAGAAAAGGTAATTAGAATTCAAGTCGGAACTGTATTTTTTAATGATCTCTAATCAAGAATTGGTATTCTAGAAGAGCGATGACGCGTCAGGTAAACTGACGACCAATTCACATGTGATTTCATGGGTGGATGCGAGCATATTCTAGATGAACGACTTTTCAATGATTTAATCGATTTCTAACACTAGATATCCGCCACGAGGGGGCGTGTACCACACCTTACGTGATATATAGTGGATATATCGCCCACGGTTCCCTTGCGGTTGAATGAGTACACATCCACTGGGTGGTGTTCCCGTAAAGCAATACTTTCACCCAGTTTCATTATCATTATTGATAGAGAGGTTACGGCGCGTATCCGTAGTTTACTCGGGGACCGATGCTTAACTGTCAAACTGTTTGTTTAAGGCGGAACGAGACAATAAATCACATAGTTTAATCGCAAAGCCGGGGTCGGCGATTTGGATTCCCTGGACAGCGAGGCGTCTTCCCAACCGCTCTCATTGGCACATTGTTTTGTGGTATCGTGTTTCCAGTGTTGTCTGAGGCAGCTTCGTCAAAGGGGAATCGTGATCAGGTTATGCAAACTATCGGGGAGATAAACTTTTTTTTATTCACTAACATTAACAAATAGAATGCGAATTGTCAGAATCAGTGACTGTGTGGGAGAAGTTATTGGGACTTGAAATGGACAGACTTCTAAATAATCCTCACACATGCCACCACTCTGTTAAAGAAACCAACACGTCTCTTATTGTTGACATATTTTCATTTTCATTTATTTTGTTCATATAGAGCAGGGACACCCCACCCCTCCAAACTTCGGCCTGTACGTCCCGTTAGGTCAACACCGTGACGTGTCATTGCATTTGTCCGTGATTGGTGTTTATTTTCGAGGCGAAGTCACGCGGAAACTAACAAACCATTGTGTTTTGACGCCTCCGTTAATGTGGGCTCAGATTGCCGAGAGTTATCCATTATTCGGGGTGCCTTCCAATAATGTTAATTTTAGTATCAGTGACTAAAGAGGAATGATACATTACTATTCCATTGGCGCGAGATGTGACAGCGCTCGTTTATCTTATGGGTGATAGGATATCGAGGAATGATTTCCGCGGGGAAATGTTCCAAGTCAGTGAATCTACTGTGCTTTGCTCTATCTTTGCTGTCTTGTAGATTTTATATATATAACGAAGTGACACGTGTTGTTTTCTCACGAGAATTATGGTACAAATTTGTGTAAATTTCAAAATTGTTTTGGGGGAAAAGATTTAAAAGTCGTTGGTAATAATAAGAAATATTATAGGGAAATTCAAGGTGAAAACTGTTGACAATGGTGGTTAGAAGGGTAAACTTGATAATGCCACGCCGGAACTACATTTTTCGAGAGCTACTGATC